GGGCTGTATCCTAGGATTCTACGAGTTCTGGTGGACGTTTCCGTGCAATAGTCTCCGTTTCTAGACGTCCCGTGTTTATTTTAAGAATTTATTTATCTAGTCATTGCGGGAGAGGTTAAGGAATTGGGAATTTCAGGATCAAGTTTGATTCCACGCGTTTTTAACACTTTGCCGGCCGCTGACACGTACGCGTGACTTCAGTTCAGCGCGGTACAATGCTTCCACTATGGTTCTGTTTTAACTGTTCCTGTTGTCTCTTCTTGACATTCTTTAAGCAGATGCTTGTTCTGTTAGTTTCGGATCTTGGTGCCTTTTTTAATAATAACGCATGTAGGAAGGGTAGCGTAAGTATGACGGTCAGCGAGCAATAGAACCCGCGTGAAATTCGTGAAGTGGCCGACAAAGTATTAACCGTTTGAGTCCCAGAGGCTTTTAAAAGAACACGGTCGAAAGACCCCGAACAGCGAGATAGCGCTTGTCTTAATCGAGTGCTAGAAGCCCAGCTGGCACGATAGCGCTTGTTTAATTTTATGTGGAAAAATCCCAATCGCTTGTTGATGCTATGTGACGTACGTGCATCAGCAAAGTTGAGCGCTATCACTTTGACAGTAGTTGATAGCACCGTCAGTTATCCATAGCGCTCGGAATAAACTGGGATTTTTCCACACAAAATCCGAAGAGTGCTATCGCACTGCTTGGGACTCAAACCGTTAACCACTTGCGCTGGAAAGACGTGTCACGCACGTCGTAATGCTTTTGTGACAGAATCGCCAACGACGTGTCACGCACGTCGTAATGCTTTTGTGACAGAATCGCCAACGACGTGTCACGCACGTCGTAATGCTTTTGTGACAGAATCGCCAACGACGTGTCACGCACGTCGTAATGCTTTTGTGACAGAATCGCCAACGACGTGTCACGCACGTCGTAATGTTTTTGTGACTGAATCGCCAACGACGTGGTATACACGTCGTAATGCTTTTGTGACAGAATCGCCAACGACGTGGTATACACGTCGTTAGACAATTGTTACAGAAACATTGGACCGTTCTGTGAATTTCTTGCCACCGCAAGTGGTTAATCTCGCTGATACTTACGCTTAAGATACATATGGCATGATGACACTTAGGTCAACTCTTTCTGCAGCACCTAGAGAGTATATCTATATGCTATGAAATAGATATAGTGTTTATAATAAGTTAATTCGATTTGTATATCGATATATATTCCCTGTATATATCTACATCCTCCGAAGTAGCCTGGGGTTTAGAATAGACTAATGTAATTTGTAGACTTTTCGTTCGTACAGAGGCTAAAGCAATACCCTTTGCTTTTGTTTCGTTACTTTCTCCATTCTTGGAAATTGAATTCTTTTAACAATTACACTGATCCCTCGAATCCATTTTTACGTACACTATGTATACCATTGATCGAGCTTAATGTAAATCGTGTCTTGAATTAATTGATTTTTGTCTGCAAATTAATCTATTTTATTGCAAACAAAAATTATGAATATATTATTGGAATATTTTAATAATTTATAAAATTAACAAACACACTTCCTACGTTTTATTACGATAATTTCTTGTGTTTTATACACTTATTTTACACGATCCCTTTTCTATATAGTCCCTTCGAAAAATAATTATTAAAGAAGGTACATAAATGGTAGATACACGAGTAATCACTCTTCACTATAAAACACTAAGACACGTAAACATACGCACATTACGTGTACATAAAAGTATATACACATAGAGATAAACTCTTTCAATTCCCTCACGTGTATATTTTCTTCTTATTTTCTCTCTTATTACACTAAATATCGAAATATTGACATACAAATTTCGATACTTGACCCTCGCACTTCAGAGGAATCCTCCATTTAATAAAATTCTGGGGACCGATGTCAATTAATAATATTCATAATCAATAATAATTCTACTCCTCAATTTTCATTCGATTCCTCGTTTATCGTTCCAAAAATAAAATATCGTCTGCGTTATATCAGATTTTCGAGTCGGTATTTCCCACTAAGGGGTTGATATTCGAAACATCCACCAAAAGAAGGAAAAATCAGGAAACTAGAAGAACTCGATAGAAAAATAAAACGACTCGAATAACAAGGAACTGCGATGCTCGCACCAGCACCCCGACCAACGCACGAAAGCAACCTGCGTCCCCCACGTGCCTGTCGCACCCTCTCGTGCATGCCTGTGCATCGACACCCCCGCTTTCTCCAACTTGGAGTCGAGTGTACGTAGACGAAATAACCAAAGGGACGCTTGGTAAAGGCGTGAGACCTCGTCAGAAGCGTCCTCCTCCAGTCGTCGAGATCCCGAGGGTTCTGGGACGAGGGGGAACGACGAACCGGGCTCCCCTTGCTCCTCCCGGGGTCCCGAAGGACCTCGACGACCATCTACTGAACGTGTAAGATATTCCCAAGCCGAGGTTCCAGCTCGTTCGAGAACGAGCTCTCTGTGTCTGTCTGTCTGTCTGTCTATCTGTGTTCCTCTGCATCCCTCTCTTTGTACTTTCCCCCAATTTTTCTCGCTCGTTCTGCTTGCCACGAAAGAAGGATCGCAAGTACTGTGATGCGCCTGGCTCGTTCGAGCACCACGAAGGATTTTATCTTGTTAACTGATCGTTTCTCTTGGTTACTCAGATCCCTCGTACTCTTTTCTGTTCTTTTCTCTTCTCAGTACGTGAGTGTCTTGTTCTTTTGTCGTACCTCGTGTATGAGATGTATTTCCACCTCGAGGGTCGATTTCCGTCGATCTTCCTCGACGTTTGCACGTTCGTCACCGAACTGCACCCTCCGGCACCTTTTCTCGATTCTTCCCTGGATAATTCACTGGATTCGTCCCCTTCCTAACCCCTGTTTCGCTGGTTTCCTGGGTTTCGAGGGGTCTCTGATGCACGATTTCGAACGATCGGTATTACGTGAAAGCAAATTTTTATAGTATCCTTATAATTTTGGAATATCTCGCGTATTAGGGTGGTATTAATTTGGAATTAATTTGGAATTAATTTAGAATTAGTTTGGAATTAATTTGAAATTAATTTGGGATTAATTTAGAATTAATTTCAACTAAAATTCGCAATTTAGAAATTAAATAATCAAAAATTCGTTATGAATGCTATTCGAATTTAAAATTTGAGTCAGAGATATCTATTTTTATACTTAAATTTTTATCTCTGAAAGAAAACGTAATCTCTGCAGCAAGTTCGATTCGAACGAAGAGAAGGAATTGCAGATAGCGATCGTTCGATGGTGGAAATCAAAGATTAGCTCTCAAGACCCACTTCACCGGCCTGAAACGTTCCGACTGCCCGACAGGAATGTCTTGCCACCGTTTTTCTTTTTCTTCGACCGTGTGATCGCACGTCTCCTCTTTCTCCTCCAGCCCTGTTTCAAGAGAACCCGAGTCGATACGACACTTTGAGACCGATATGTGATACTCGATCGAGAGACCAAAGTACGAGCAACGCGAATGAATACGCTCGGTGCTGCTACAACTCTACTTCTCTTTCACCTTTACTCTGTCTATCTCTCTATCTCTGTCACTGTCATCTTCCGTTAGTTTTACAGCTAGAGATTAACGAGCTAGAGAGTACTTCGTTACCATCTCACGCAGCTAGCAGCAGTTTCTCTGCGGAGTAGCTGGAACTTTGCGACGTCAGAAGAAAAGGGAGAAACGAAGGGAATAAAACAAAGCAACCCTTCAAATAAATCACCAGACATAACGATATTATAATTACAAACATCAATATCAACAATTGAGATTCAACTATCAGCTGTCATTTGATTCAAAATTTTCCAAATAGCGCAAAATAACACGAAGAGAAAAATTACTTCAAAAATTGATCTTCAGCTGTTATTAGCTTCTCATTCGATCCGAAATTTTTTAAATATAATAAAATATAATAATTAACATGAAAATGAGAAAGACTGGTTTCTCAAAAATCGATCTTCTCTCTCCCTCACCATGCAACTGAAAAATCGCAGAGTCCAGCTACTGTTGCAGCAATGATCGCGACGAAGGTACTCTAGAGTCGCGACACTTGTCTCTCGGTGATCCAGAAAGCAATAAGATCGCGGGGAAGCTTGGCTGCGCAGAAAATCGGACATTGTCGCCAAAGTTCCGCGACTTTAATGAATCACCTTCGCGCGGGAACGTCGTGCCCCCTTTAGCGGAATAATTCCTGCGAAGGAACAAAGAAGCCTGCACCCCCGATGAAGTTTCAACCCCCGGTCTTCCAGGGTTGTTTGCTCGGCTAGAATCGTCGCGCAGCCGGGACAAAACTTGTTTTCTTTACGCGAAACTAATTATCGTGTCTGGAACGGGATTAAAGGCAACGTCGGCAGCGTTTCGATCTTTCAGATCCGCGGCTGCAGCGAAAAACCGCGAGTTGGCTGGAAACTTTGATAATTAATGTAAATAACTTGGCCGGAAGTTGGGGATTAACGCGAACGCGACGTCGACGTTGGACTCGTCACGGAGGGGATGAAATCTTTGAGACGATCGCGCGACCCTCGAAGGGAACGGAGACCTCGAGGAATACCGAAACGAGGTGATTCGAGCCATTCTTTGCTAGCCTTTGGTAGCCATTGACAGAGTGCATGGAAGATCCCTAAAAAGGGGGCTTTCCTAAACGTGGAAGCTAATTAAATTTCGCACCTGGAGTCCTCCGATAGTAGACAAACTGAGAGTTAACGCGAATTAATTAATTATAAATTAATTCTGGGTCTGGAAAGGTGAGAGGAATTGGAATTTTTAGATAAACGTTGCTTTCTGGTAGACCGTGGAGACAAGTGTAGCGAAGGAAAGAAGAAAGTCAGCTTGGCTAAGTATGAAAGCGCGTTGGCTGGTCTCTAGTCTTTGTATTGAAAGAAAGATGCAAAGGATAGGTATCTTTTTAGGTTAAAACAAATAATAGCAATAAGAAAGGAACTAAACTGTCGCATATCCGTGATGTATGTGTGTATTGTTGTACAGAGGATAAGAAGGGCGGCGTCGACCGGAGCAGCACGGTCATTGCCAAAGAACCCGAAGGTAAACCTTGCATATCGAAGGCCGAGAAACGTGTACATAACGCGCGTTTCGACGTCTCGTCTTCATGTGTATACATATATTACGTACCTCCGTATAGATTTATATATATATGCATGTATACGTGTATATACGCGCGTGTGCTTACGTGTATACATATATACGTGCATATTCCACGTGTGTTACGTGTAGACGTCCTCCGGTTCAGACTGGCTTCTCCCGTTCGCGTTGCTGGAGCCGCGTGATCGGAGCTGCTTCTGTGGCTTCCGGTCTACTGACCTTCCGCCAATTCTCTCTGTCGTTCGTGGCCTCTTGTGCCTTGCATTTCAGCGAAAATGCGCAGGCTTATGTAACGCGAGCAAAACCGAAGACTTCTCGACAGTAATTTCATTTTACGATTCGATTTCAACGTTGGCAAAGAATTTCCTACGCTTTTTCAAACATCTACTGAATCTTCCTGCAAGAAAATATTATTTCTTTTTATTTTCACGAGATACGTTTGTTAAGAAATAATATTATTTTTGATCGATACGAAGAGAAGGAAATATAAATAATTGTTGATTAATATGAAGGATTCGAGCAACAAAATTTGTTAACATTTCTGTGATATAGAGATTACTAGGAGATATTGTTGGTTATCCAAATTATTACCAAAAAGGAAATATTATTTCTTCCTATTTTATAACACATAGATACTTACAAGAAATAATATTATTTGAAATTGATAGAGAAAATAAGATGCTAATAGATTGCTGAAGCACTCGCAATTATAGTTATCCAAATTATAAACAAAATTTGTTTAACGGTGTGAAAAGAGCTTTACGCAATTTTATAACATGAAAAAGAATATTATTTCTTTCTATTTCTATAACACAATTATCACCAAGAAATAATATTAAATAAAACCAAGAAATTTGAGATAGAAATAGATGAATCTTCCAGCACCTCCAAGGTGCCCTCTCGACACCCCTGGTAACTTGCAAACAATTTAACCATCGCGTATCAGCAACTATAATAACTCGCGTGCTGAAACGCGGAATTTGCAAAAGCGTGCTAATAACACGAACGAAGAAGGGAGTTAATCGGAATTGCAAAGGACAGGTAGAAGCCCCGATAAAAAGCGAGAGGGCACCGGAAGAGGGCCACGAACCGGGGAAGCCAATGCCACGAGGGGCTCAGTGACGAGCTTCGTGCTTTTGCACCCTGTCTGTTCCAGCTTCCGCTAACTCGTACTTCGGATTTACCGTCTCTCCAGCCTCCTCTCGTTCCACGAACTAATAAGGACGTTGCGTGCGTTGCTTCTCCCACCCCTGATCGGTCTGCAAATTAATCGTAGCCCCTGCCACAAGGGGTTGAAACGCCCCTTCCCTTCGTTCTGCACCACCATGTTCGTGAACGTGCGCGCTCGTGTGTGTCCCATTCTTGGTGTCTAAACGAAATATACCCGTTCAACAGGACCCCCCGTCACCCCTTACACGATAATTTCAATGAAATTCTGGAATAAACGGAGGATAATGGAGGATCTAATCGATAATTCGTGAAATTTTTAATAATCTAATTAATTATCAATATTGGAAAGCATATATGTATATATACTTACTGACAAAGGGTAAGAATTTTTGTATATATTTTATTCTCTAAAATACACGTGGAAAAATAAAATAGGGGTTGAAGAGGTAACATCTTGCGCGTTAATTAACTATAATTGAATCTATTCTTAATTTTAATCTGTGTATCTTGGAAGATAAAAAATGTACAAAAATGTGCAAACAAAGGAATCTTTGTTTCGCTTCTCACCTTTTGTCAGAAATCCTGTGTTATATGTAATTTAAATGAACAGATGCCTGTATCTATATTAACTTTGTAGCAAGACAATGATTAGTGAATTCTTAGATGCGAAAGAAATAGATGTCAAGATAGTTAGGTATAAAATAAATATTTCGCGAAGTATCGAAGACGAAGCAAATACTTTTCCATTCATCGATCCGATTTATTCCGATTTTTCGTGAAGGAAAAATCGTGTAACGTGTGGCACGATCACCAGCCGAGAAAGAAAGATCAGAGGTGCAGGCCTCTGGAACGAAAACGGCGGATTTTCGTTCGGTTTCCCCTGTTTGTGTTTCCACCCATGTGTGTAACCCGCGCTCGATTTAGAATCGGGCGTCTCGACGCCGGAAGAAGCGAATGCCAACCGATGTAGCGGCGAGAAATTAGCGTTCGAGGACGTCTGTTGAGACACCTAGCGGATCTCTACTGCCCGAGGCGAGTAGAACACTCTATAGATTGTCGCGATACTCGATTACGACCATTTTATCGCGTCACTGTGTATATTGTTTTAGCGTTTTAGACGTTGTTCGTAGGATTTGTTGTTCTTGCGCTGTTGCGAACGTTATGCTGTCTAGGAAACCGAATAATACATATATTTATGCGTAACTGTTACCATCGAGCAGCTGGCTGTCTTTTATTTTCTTATTTTTCGTTTCATTTTCTTTCACCGACACCCGTCTCAGTACAAATTAGCCAAGTTATTCCCGATCATGATCCGTGGTCGAAAAATCGTCGGAATCAGGGACGAAGAAGCTGTTGGGAGAGACATCTGCGGCAACTTGGCAACCTTGAACGATAAGTAGCCCCAGCATCGTAAGCTTTAGCAAGTCTTAGTCGCCTGCGTTTTATCGAAATAGATGGCCTGGGTTCCCGATTTGCTTAGTCGTTTGATAGTAGCCGATACTCGTCGTAGAACATCTCCAACCCCGTTACGATAGCCGTCAAAGCATCCTACGATCGATGGCTCGATCATCCGAGCAGCACTAGTTGTCACTGTTCTCCGCGAATGAATTTTCTTCGTCGATTTCGGTGTTAAATCGTGTTAGACTCGATACTGTGAAAACCGGAAGCTTCTATCGCCATGAAACACTTCTCAGATTACGAAGATCATCTAGTTATCATCCCACAATCCGAACGAGTTCCTCCTGACATCGGTTAGTCTCTCATAGAGTTGGAATCTCACACTGGAATGGCTCATCCCTGCTGTAGTCTGGCCCAGACGATTTGGCCACTCAAAGACACCTTAAGCAGATTAGAGACACTATAGAAACGCGACTGGAACCTCACAGGTGCCTTAGGCCGCATGAGAACGGGCCTCTAGAACGTCACAGCCTGTCAACCACGCGTTCTCACGAGACAGAATCAGTCGACGAGCGGTAGACGGATATAGTCCGTTTATAATCGGTTAGCGTTCAAGGTAACGCTCCCCACCACGGCTCCCGCGGCCTCCCCACTGTCGCGGACCGATCAAGCGCGTGGTGGGGGTCGAGTAATCGAGTACCGGCGTGGTGGGGACCGCGTAACAGAATATCGGCGTGGTGGGGGTCGAGTCATCGTGCTGCCGTAGCCTGTAGCCTCTCGGTGACCTTGGGCAGCCAAACTCTCTAGGCTGGACTACAGCTGGAGCGATCAGCAGCAGGGTGGACATGGAGACGATGGAAAGTACGCGGGCTGGCGGCGATTTGGAGCGTGGAGGCGTGGAATTTCGCACGATGGCGGCGATATCGTCACAGGAAACCCGCTGTAACGCGCGCGGCGCGCTGTCAACGGAAATACTTGGCCGCTTGGCACCGCTTGAAAATAGATTGGCAGCAGTTCTCGTCGTTCGTTCGGCCATCCTCGAAGCCGGCCGTGCAGAGCGCAATAAAAACCGTGTCGATCGTCCATTTTCCTCCCTTTCGCGCGTAACCGAGGGCCCTCGAGAGGATCGTTCCTCGTTCCCGTGCAGTCTCTGGTGATCGGAAGTTTGGTGGAAAAGGAAGAAGAGGGCAAGAAGTGCAGTGTGTCAGTGATAGATGCGTTTCGAAGGGAACTATAGGTGAAATCCTCGAAATGTCGGCCACCGCTGGCTTGCCGGGTTCCTCGAAGCAGCCTGATAATTACGGTGAGCCAAATGGACAAATTTTGCCTGGTTAGCGCGCCAGGAGGATCGTTGGTGATGTACATTCTTCGAGAAGAATACTTGTTAATCGCTTTTGGCTGAATGAACTCTTCTTTTAAACATAAATGATGACGCACAGGTGGTTTCATAACGCGATATTCGAAATTATAACTGCCAGTACCTGGTCCAACAATGCCTTTGTTATCGTCGACACATACGTGAGAAGAGTACGGAGCAGATGATCAATCGTTTACTATGCATTCACCATACGCAGTTACATTCTCATCATTTTCGTTGCTATGTTATTAAAATTACCATCTATAATTTCAATTGGCATGGTCCGTCTGAACTTCGAGGAAACTCAGTCGTTATGAAACAACCAGTACTTTCCGCGAGCATCCACCTCACCTTCCTCATCTTCGTTTCACTCGTTGGCCGAAGAAAAATACGAGAGATCGAGCCTCTTACGCATTTAGAATCTTGAGGAAATTTCGTAACGCGTCAGCGATACGCCAAAAATTGTCACGACGTTAGAATTCCTCTGCGAGAAGCAAGTGGACCAGCTCTGATCCCTGGCACGCGCGCAGTCAGCGCTGTGGCCAGCCAGATCGCGATTGCCGCGTCGGGATCGACGTTTCGTTTCTTCGAATGGTCCCCTGGGTGGCATCCGGGGGCCGTTGGATGATTAATGGCGGCGTCCCACGCGAAACGAACTTCCGACTCCATTCTGAATCGCAGGGACGTTGGGTCACGATCGCCAGCCAGCGTTTCGGATCTATTTTAGTCGCGAAACCGTGTCTATGTCGGACGGGAATCTATCGTGACTGTGCGTAACTATTCTCGTTCTACTTAGCAAAGGTCGCTGTCGCTGCTGCCACGGCGACGCCGGTGGCTAGACGGAACGTTCTTCCGCTTGGAACTCGTTCGTTCACTCGCTTGAACACGCGCGTGTCGTTGACGCTCCTCGAACGCCACGCAGATGAGGCTGAAACGAAAGGCGACGGAATTCACCTCGTCCAAACGTATTTCCATCCGATTTTACCATTTTCTTTTCTTTTATTTCTCTTCCCCTTTC